GGGAGTTTCTAACTTTTAAGAGGGTCCGAGATAGCTCCTGGTTGGATGAGCAAAGATACGCCTTATTTGAATAAATTAAAGATAAGAATACGCCTTTTCTATAAAACTTTGCACACAGGAGTAACAAATCAGATTTGCTCTTGCAAATCTCCAAAGACGTCTTTGCTTTTCTTTCTTTCTTTTTCTTTTCTATTTGTCTCAGGTAAATGAATGTCTTTTTTAGTGTGTTTGAAGTATCTGTGTTGTCAATGTGATTTTATACTTTTAAATGTTAAAATAAACTCTGAAAATGTATGCTGTGGACCATTGACTGTCATCCCAATGTGGCTTTTATTTCCACACATGGGATCATTGAGTCTGGGAGGACAAGAGAATATAACGAGCCAGAAGTTATGATTTTATTCTCTACAATGTTTTACAGTTTTTACTCTGCCATTCTATTTTATTATAATGCATCACTGAATGAGTTATCATTCAGTGATTATCTTCACTGAATGATGATTCAGTGATAATCACTGAATCAGTGTTTTGATGGAAGTGAAATTCAGAGTGTGCTCATCAAAGAGTGAAAAACTGGAAATAAAATGAAGCGTTAACACAAGTAACATTGATTAGATTTTAACTTAGAAATTCATCAATACATCAAAAATACTGATTATTTCCTTTTAATAATGATTAATTAATAAATAGGCCACTTAATGAAATGCTGACACTTCCTTTGCCCAGGTTAGAGATGTTTAAATGTTTTAGCACATGACTAATCAAAAACAGCATCCTGTCTCTCAAACAATGAGCAAAAAGAAAAGGCTTAGAAATAAAATCTCTTAGCTTTATAAAAGAAGCTAATGACATCTCCCCTTCAAGTGATCAACAAGCTCTATAAATATACAGGTCATTTTAATGGAGCTAAAAACACATCTGATCACTAAAGCATGAACATTTTTCTCATCTGATCCAGGAGATCTCCATGACTGGGACATGAGGACACTTCAGGGCATATTCCAAAGATGAACTTTGGCCTGTTGTTGTGCTCTTCTGTGGTGTATTTGGTCTGGCCTGAGCTTTTTCACTGTAAGCTCAAAATGTTTAAGAGGTTCTGATTCTCACATGATGATTTGGGATTTCATATTTATGTGATTGTAACTTTTGACTTAATTAGTAATCCTGTTTACAGTTACTATTCTGATTTATTAGTAAAATAACTTTGGGTTTATTTATTTTTTAAATAAAATTTGAGGGGACAATCATTTAATTAAGGTAAGGTAAGGTAATTTTACTTATATAACACATTTTCAGCAACAAGGCAATTCGAAGTGCTTTACATGAGCTAAAAGGAAATACAAGCAAAATAACAAACCAAAGGAAAGATAAAAGATGAAAGAAAACTAATCTAATGTTGTTCTACAGTATGTAAACTAGGTGCTCCTGTTCAGGGTTGCTAAGTATCTAATACCATTTCTAAATAGTGAGTACTCTACAGTTTCTTATAAAATAAGCTAAAGAGTGACTGATCTAATTCCTTTTCTGGGTTAAAGTGAGAACTCCACAATTCTAAGTTTGTTCTAAATCCTTTTCTGGGTTAAAAGTTAAAATGTTTATTAATTAAAATGTTCATATAAAATAATAGTATAACAAACAAACAAGACAATACATGTGTAAAAATGAAATAAAACAACTGTTTAAATGCGTCTGTTATGAACACATTGTCATCAGTAGGGCCTCCAGACAGGCTCCTCCCCTCTCATAGTAAGACACGCCCCTTCCATGTAATTGGCCATAGCTGTAGCAACGCTGCGGTCCTCCCCTGTGCTTTGGAGCGGTTGGTTCGACCCGTAGTAGAAACTGCTGGGCTGGAACTGGCCGCTGTGGCTTAGCGCAGGGGGAACAGACGGAGCCGAGGACAGGTAGGAGCTGTATGGAGGGGCGTGGGCGGAGAAGGGGACAGTGGGCAGGTGGTGCAGTCTGGGGGCTGAAGTGAAGGAGGATGTCAGAGATGTCACCTGACCAAGAAATGATGATTCGTTGCTCCACAAGGAGGAGGGAAATGATCTGCGGTCTGAATAAAAAAAAAGAAGTCAAGCCAAATAAATTAGTTTATTCAGAAACAATTATGACTAAAAACACGATCCAGGATCTGCTTTCCAACTTTTCCCATAACGCCTTCATTTAGATATTCCTGATGAAATGTTTTGATCAGCTGCTATGCAAATAATATTCTGATCTGCATGAACACTGGTCCATTTTCACCTAAAGCACTGTGTGAAAGTGACAGAGATTGAAATAAAGGGATGTGGTATTATGATACTCATTAATGTCATAATGAAAATAGACTTAAGAATTGATCTTTGGACCCTGTGGCATTCTTAACTACCCTTGGATGGATTTGGACAACTTTGAAGCTAAGAAAAATTATCCATTATACTACTTCTTTTTCTTGGTTTTATTTTATTTTGTGCTATTTTATTTTGTCTTCTATCATACATTCAAGCCTTTGGTCAATGGCATTTGGTTTAAAAGTGCTTCATAAATCAATTGTCTACCAGAGTAGGTGAACAAAGAACATTTGACATTTTTTAAGAGTAGTTGACAAGTAATTAACATAAAAAAGAACAGTTGTGAAAGTTATATATTTTATGGTGCCCTGATCTATCTCATTGTTTTACATTGTTATATTTCACTTGGAGCAAGGGATATTTTCCCTTTTGTTCAACAATACCATTACAATAAGATGTACAATTTGATCTTTTCAATAATCTGTTTGATCATGTCATTTTGCTAGGATGCCTCGACTGCCCACAACTCTCGCATATTTGGTACATTTTCCAAGACAAGAAAAGAAAACTGTCTTCCTGGTGCTTGAAGAATCATTGCTCTGGTCCTCAATTTTGGCTTCTTTAGAATCTCATTAGGAAAAATGATTAACTTCCTTTTTGCTCCAGATGTCCCAATCTTACTTACCATCTAAGTCACTTAATGTTTAATTACAGATCATTTAAATGTAAAACTTTTGACTAGAAATTTGCATATTTTGACTGAGATCAAGATAATTATTTAAACATCAGATACCTAATGGGGCAGTACTGCCGATACTGCTGGGAGGCCGGAATATTCCTGATTTCATCTCCTTCTGTCTCTGACCTGATAAAACATAAAACAAAACTCATCAAAAACTCTGATAGTACAAGATTAAACCTTTGGATATTTCTTCCTAGGGTTTACTAACGTCTCGGGAGCCGAGGTCCATCCACAGTGATCTTAATGGCTCTGTGTACAGTGGCTATTTGAGGAGGAGAGGTCAGCACATTGATCGACAGCGTGAACGTCTTACCTAAAAGGGCAAAACATATCGATGAATACAAGAAGCTCACAGACGACTTAAGATGAAACTTAATAGCAGGATTCTGTTTTGACACTTTATCTGACTGCAGCTATGTTTCCATCTAACTGTCATGAGAATTTTAAGCAAACTTTTGAAATATTGCGAAAAAGTAAAAGAAAGAAAGAAAGAAAGAAAGAAAGAAAGAAAGAAAGAAAGAAAGAAAGAAAGAAAGAAAGAAAGAAAATGTAAACTGCAAATTGGGCATTTACTGGCTTGGAATTAATCAACCAGAATAATTTTGTCAGATGTTGACACTATGCATGTCTGTAATAAACAAGATATAGAGGTTGGATCCTAGCCTGGACCTCAGTGATCCACCACTCCTGGACAACAGTTTAATCTTATGAATATCATGAGGTGAGTGGTGTACCTCTGCCACTGCGACCAATGAACCGTAGATCGTTGAAGTGGGCATAACCTTGCTTCATTGTCGTTGTGGCATTGCGTAGCTCGGCGCTGCAGTTGTCATCATTGCCAGCCATCACTGTCACAACCACGCCATCTGGCACGTCATTACCCAGAGCAACTACCTGCAAGATGTAAAAACACAGACTCCCAAAAGCTGCAGACATACCTCTGAAATCTTTAACAACCTTTCAAACTGAACTAAAGCAGAGACTTAGGGAAAAGTTAGTTGGTTGCTCACAGTGAAAGCTCTTGGCAGGGTCTTGTTGCATCTCCAGTGCTGTGGCAGAATGCTGCAGAGGAAGTTTGGGCTGTCAGTGTGCACCAAGCCTCTCTGGGATGATGCACCATGCTGCTGCAACGGCGCTCTCACCTCCTGCTCTTCCGGTTGGTGAGGTTTAGGTGATGGAACCTGCCGGCATTTTCCCACAGTATCTTAAGAGGATACAGAGACAAGTTTGACTTGACATCTTCTGCTTTCATGTAATAAATTAGAAATATGACAAATGTTTTAAAGCATTCTTTGTTTCATTAAAATTTGGGAATTTCATGCCGTTGGTTTCAATCATAGCACCTTATCATGTCCAGAGGACCCAAATGTGCTTAACACTACAGTCATTCATGCACACACTCATGGTGACTGACAGAAGCAAGGCTGCCACGCACCAGAGGGTTGATTGACCAACAACTCAATCAACCCACCAACCAACACACAATTAATTCATTTAACCAATTTAGCCATCCATCCTGCTTTTATGTAACAAATCAACAATTAAGTCAACCAACCAGCTAACCTATCAAATAGTTCATTTGATCAATTGTTCAGCCATTTTCTTTTTCTTTTTACCTCCAGGAACAATACTGTAGTAGGTGAATAACCATAACTTGCAAAGTACCACCAAAGTTACCACAAAGTTAGTGTGTAATGTGGGATATAGCAACTTGATTGTGGCTTTTCTGTAACCTGTAATATATCGGCTACATGAATAATGAAGAGAAAAACTACATTTCCCATCACCACAGCGGGCCATAGCGTCATCATTCCGCGTCGAAATATACTTCGAATCAGAAAAAATTAACACTTTGCAGCTCCAGCTGAATGTTTCTGCTAATCTGCGGTGAGATTTTTATTGACTTCTTTTCTCTCCATGTCCTCAGTTCCTCTCTCACTCCTCCTGCCCGCCTTGTTTTCTGTGTTGTGTGTCGCTCGCCGCAGTGTTTGAATAGGAGGGAACTGCGCTGCATTATTATTCAGATTGTCCTGCCGGGGGGAAGTTAGTGCGGTCACAGCACCTGTCCCTCCTCCGTCTGTCTGCTTGTGTGTTTATTCGCCTCACAGCTTTTCTGCTATCTTGTTGTTTTAGGCTTTTGTCTCAGCCAGAGTTCTTTCAGAAGGGAAGTGACCCAAAAATACGAACACTGAACCAACAACTCAAGAGAAAACAGGTTTCATGGTTGGCACGAGGAAGTTGGTGTGGTTATGGAGAGGAAAGAAAACACAGTTTATGATTTGTGAGACACTAACTCTGTTGGGGAAAACAAAAGTCGGTTATATATAGTTTTTTTATGCTAGGCTAGTCACTACACTCAAAGCTTGCACAGTATATTATTGTTTTAACATTTTTTAACACTTTTTGGTCTTCTGCGTACCTATGCAGCCTGCCGCTGAAACTCCCTGTGAGACAATAAAAGTTTATTCTATTTCTATTCTTCTACTAGCATGTGACATTTTAACATTTTCACGTTAGAATAAAGCTACTTTATTTGTTAATTTGTTTTGGAAAACAAAGTATTCTTTGTATTTTAGTTTTAATGTAACACAAACTTTTCTTTTTCCTTTATTCAGTCACCTGTCAGACTTATTTGTGTAACTTCAAATCTCTTTTTATGATATGGACACTATCTCATGTACAAATAGAACAAGGCTGCAGCACATTCAAAAATACATAATAGTTTGCCAATATTTTGGGTTCAGCAGAGACGATGGAAATTTATTTCAATTTTTGAAACTTGTTTAGTTGTGCTCATTTGTTCAATAACTCTTAATTAATAGAAACCATTTTCTCCAATTATTTGCTGCATTTATTTATTTTTTTCTTTGCATTTGATATTATAATAATGATATATTTGCTAAATGTGCAGTCGTTGTTAAAAATTATTCTATCTTAAGTTGCATCTTACACAGAACAAGTGAATCTTTTAATTTCTGATTGGCTGGTTCCCAGTCAGACTAATTAAACGGAGAATTTTAGTCCTAAAATTTAACCTAGGTTTCAAAAGGATGCTTAAAATAAATGTATATGTCTATCTGTCATAATCATGCAGATTACACAAGCAGGACGGAACAAATGTGGTGTGAGTCAATTCTGGTTCTGGTTGGGTTAACCTGTGTGTTTCTGTGTCACCAGGTGTTGGTGGGTAGGAGTGATGTCATGGCCGGCTCAGTCACCTCCAGTTCTAAAGAGCGCCCTGCTTCCAGAACCAGCTTCATCCCAGAGCTGCAGAGCATGATGTATGACACACACACACACACATGCATGCATGGCGCGCAGAGAGTAAAATAAAACGCCTCACCCCAGTACAGCATGGGACTTGTGCTGCTGAACAGACTGTTGGAAGCCATGAAAATCTGTTGAATAAAAGAAAAAAAGCCACAGTAATAATCAAACTGGGTGATATTTTAGTTAATGTTGTCACAGAGCTAAATACAGTCCTCAGTTCTTCACTTTGATACATGGTTATATGATAATGTTGATGGTCGTCTGGTGTTCCCAAGAAAAAAGTTGTTAGTAGCAACAAGGCGACACGTTTGAGTGTGGTAGAATTATTGTCTTTATCAGCTCAATCATTAAGATGTCTGTCTTTGTGAATCTCCACCAGAAGGAGTTCTTGCTCGTCCGCCTTGTTTTCCTGCACAGGAACTGTCAGCATAGCTGCAAAATTTCACAGATGCGCGTTGCGGAAAATTTGGACCGCTTGGAGGGGGCATAGTTGTTGAAATGACGTAACTTGACCGTGCAGCGCCGTATACGCTTCAAGCATAAATCAAGCTTCGTGGATTTGACTTATACAACTGATCACAGTGGATTGGAAGCATAACAATTATTTCAACAATAATAATTCCCAAAATGTAGTTGAACAAAATAGCTTCAAGTTTAGGTCAAAAGCTTTTATTTATTTTGTTTTTAAGTTTTCAAGATAAAGTGAATATGTTTGTTTTTGAAACTTTTTCTTCATCTTTAGTCTAAACCAGGCTGCCCGCTCATCCTGAAAAAGTCTTAAGTTTATGTACCTAAAATTAAGGCCTTAAAATAACTTCAATTAATTTAAAAAGAGAGGAAAAGTTGCCCTTAAATACATTAATCACAAATCTTAAATTTTGCTGTGGCAAAACTGTTTAATCCTGTATATTCTTTGAAGTTTTTCTTTCTCACAGAACTTTTCTGTCGGGCAAAAGTTTGAGTAGCACACAGACATCTTCAATGCGACTCAGTTGAGGCTACCACTAACTAGCTGCTATTAAACCTTTGATAGCTAAATAGGTTGTTACGTTTTATGTATAAGAGCAAATTTATGTGCAGTTGGCTGGATGGTGTTCATTGTTGCTACTGGGCACTGTACTGGTTAAAGCTGTAGAGAACATAGTAAAATATGCAATTTTCTTTTATGCATTTCTGTCATGGTACAGAAATGCCATGACAGAAATGGCATGGCATGGTCTTAAATTTCATTCATAATGATCTTAAAATGTCTTAAACTCGATTCAGTGAAATCTGTAGAAACCCTGTCGAACAAATGTGTTAGTTATGTATATCAATAGTTCAAATAATACATACATTTCTCAATAAACATGTCCAATTCTATGTAGCTAACACAATTTTTTCTTTATCTAAATCTTATATCTTTCTACATATGTTCTTCAATTGAACTATTACTGAACAAGCACAAACAATGAAGAAGAAAATGCAGTTTGTTTAGCAGGTTCTGGAAAATTGAAATGTATTGTACGGTATATTTTAGATTTAGCCATAGAAGTAGCTGAAAAAAATGAGAGACTTAGTTTGTTAAATTTAATATTCTAATAACACATTTTCTTAATTTACACTTTTTATCTGCTCTACCTTATCTTGTGTAAACAAAACTTTTTCTTATTTGCGCAAATATTATAAATAAATGTTTGCTTTGCCTGCGCTTTCTTCTTAATAAATGATATTGAGTGCATGTAAAGATGCTCACCTGGTGTTTGCAGCAGAGTGGTTCTGGTGGTTCTGGTGGTCAGAGAGGCCCAAACCCAAATAAACCCCAAAACCTGAAACGCTCCCTCTGCCTGGAGCCGGCGATGGAACCTGAGGCCAGAGCCGTCCGCAACCCCAAACCAGAACTGCTTTCACCTGGGTGACTGACGCCCACAGCCAGCCAATCAGAGAGGGGACATAGTCGTGGGAGGTGGGGGGGGGGGTGACTATCAGGTGTGTAAGTGATGGGGGGTTGATGGGGAGAAGGAAAGATGTTGAGGATGTGGCTTCAGGTTGGTCTGTCAGAATGGAAGTGGCCTATCTGGATGCAAATTGAGGTTTGACCAAATTGTGGTCAAACTGTGTGTGTGTGTGGCCTTTCGACCTGGAGTGTGTGTGGGAATATTTGCAAAGCTCTGTTTTTGTCCAAGCTGAGACTTTGAGGAGAATCCATTGTTGCACTTTTTTAATTTGTTTGTCCATGCAAATGGTGTCCTGAACATAATTCAGTCAGAACTGCCACGACTGAAAGGAAACGACACAAAACTACAGGCTGGGAATGAATTTCGCCTGGTAGAGGAACATAATCAGAAATTATTTGGAAGAGCATAGTCTTTTGTTTCTGGAAAAAAATAATAATTTATCAATATTTGTGCTGATATAACAGGAGAGTTAGAGGCTTTTTAGCCCATTTTGGAACCTTCATCCTTTATGTTTGTGTTGAGCTTCTGTTCAGGTTGTGGATGACGATGAAATGTTGGCCTTGCAGAAAGAGTCATATCCCTTAAACCTCTTCACATGTCACCATGTTAATAGTACAACAAGGTAGCATGGCATTAGGATGAAAAGCAAACATGGTTTTTATTATTTTTTGCTATTTAGTGTAGAGCCTGGTGCAGAGATGCTGGTCAGAGTTGTTGGGAAGATGGATGGAGCTGGAGGAAAACCAGGTAGAGGTTATGACCGTTTGCAGTCCTCTCAATGGTTTAGTGCAGGGCTGCTCAATGTATCACAAATATGTTGGATCACAATGTCGGCGTGCAAAATATTCTTATTTGCAAAGGACTGCTTGAAGTGCAATAATTGATGGCTAATATATTCCCAATATTCTGAACTTTCATTTGACATTCTAATGTAATGTTTAGCCAGCTGGGCAAAGACATTAGATTGTCACACCAGACACTAACGATGTCACAGAGAAACTGGAAGCACAGATGAGGAAGAGTGGATATTCCTCATCTTCCTCACTGCCGTTGTAAGATTTTCCAGTATTGTGCTGCTCTAGTTTTGTGTGGCTCCCGGCAAATCTGGTATCTGAGCTCAAGCAGCTGAAGCTGAGGGACACTTCTTTATTTTTTTAGGGTGACATTTTCACAGATAAATAAAATGTTAGATATGAGAAAGAACAAGATTTCTCATTAATTAACCAGGTTTCTGCATTCATATTAAATTTGTGGTAACTTGAATCGTTACTCAACAACAGACTTGGGTGTCCCAAAAATTAGAGACTGTCTTATAAAAACTCAGTCCTGAACGACTGTTTATGTTTTAGGACCTGTTAAGATTTGCAGATCCTTGTTCTACAAAAATCTCACTGTTTTGATCATTTCAATACAATCTTTCATGTTTAAGTTATTATTGAGTTATTATTGATAAATTTAAAAAAAACAATGTATTTTTAAAATTTGATTAAAAAACAACAAAAAAGAAGTGGCTTTTAAACTTTAGTCATTTCTCTGAATAGTCTCCAGTGACAGGAAAGTTGTTTTATGACTGCTTCGTTAATAATAGACAAACTTCTGTCTCCATGAATAATAATAAAAAAAAAATGCTTCTGCTTCAGAGAACTGATACTTAGTTGCGTTTCAGGTTTGCTCTGGGAGACGCCCGCAGGCCTCTGTATGAAACTGCAGCCCTCGTAGAGGACATCGTACACACACAGCTCATCAACATGGTAACACCAAAGACACCACATCGTTTTTTAATTAAAAAATCTTTTAATTGATGGTTTTAATTTGTGAAACAGCTGCATCAGGCCTGTGAGGGCGCCGCTCTTCGAGGTTCAAGGGTAATTTCAGCTGAAGACATCCTGTTCCTGATGAGGAGAGACAAGGTAGAGGAAATGCTGACCTCATGAAACGATGTGTTTTAAAGGGCCAGTCTTTACATCATGTTCTAATGTTATTCCCTCACCAGTAACATGCCTAGAGTGTTGCCTTGATTCTTTCATGTATGTTTGACAATTGAATTTAATCTCCGTGGCAACCATTCAGCTGTGCAAAATGCATGGGTGGACTTAGCCCCGCATTCGAGGCATATCTTTTCTTCAGTGGCACTTTCCAAGGTTCTGCTCCTTCAAACTAACCAGCAGCAATTAGCAAACACCTGAAGGAGCTGAGCTACTTCTCAGTGAAACATTAGAAAAACTGTTGTTAAAGGGTTAATAGAGAAGCCATGTTGTGATGACTTCCTGAAGGCGGAGTTTCAGATAAAGCAGCTTTTAAAGAGACAGAGGCCCACTTTCAAGGCGTTAAATTAGAATGTACCTTTTTTTAGTCATGCTTTGAGCATTTTTATGACAACTGAAGGTGACATAGTTATTTGATTGTGCAAATCAATGTAACTTTGTGTGTGAAAAATACCTCCCCTTTAAAAGTGACCTTGTCGAGTAAAGCTCTTTTTTTTGACTGTTTTTGTCTGAATGTGTGTTGACCAGAGGAAGCTGGCACGAGTGTTAAAATATCTTCAGTTTAGAGATTACAAATCCAAACTATTAAAAAATCTAGAGGAAGAAGATGTGCAGCAGGAGCCAGGTAAACAAAACCATACATCCTTGATCACATTACTGTCTTTGATATTTATCTTTGATTCACTAAGTCTGTTTGCTGCTCAGGGGGTCTGGCTGCTGGGGGGAATCAGCGCCGGCAGCGACTGGCCCAGGACTTCCTGGTATGGATGGACCAAACTGGAGAATTCCTTTCATTGGCTGAGAAACAGGAAGTTGACCCAGTCAAACAGGAGAGGATGGAGGTCAGAGGTCACCATGAAATAATCAGTGTTTTGGTAACATAAAGGACAATGAAGATGATCACACTGTGTGTGTGTGTGTGTGTGTGTGTGTGTGT